CCCTTTTTTTTCCCCCCCCCTTTTTTTCTCCCCCCCCGCCCCCCCCCCCCCCCAAACACACACACGCAGCGCGGCGACGCGGAAGTCAGCCAGAAGCTGTGGCGCGTGGTGCGGGCGTGTGTGGAGCTGGGGGACGTCAACCCCATCGAGCAGATCCACGACCAGGTGTGTGTGTGTGTGTGGTGGGGGGGGGGCAAGGGAGGAAAGAAAGAAAGGAAGGAAGAAAAAAAAGGCCAAAGAGCAACGCAGAAAACAGTGTCGAAATGAACACGAACAAACTGCGCAGCGCTGGCCCGGCAGCGGGGCAGCGGGGCCCTGCCTGCGGCGCCTCCAGCCCGTGCGCCGCCCCGCCGCGCCACCCCGCTTTCCCTGCCAGCGCTTTCCTCCCCGACCCCGCGCTTTCCTCCCCGACCCCCCACCCCACGCTCTCCTCCCCACCCACCACCCGCCACCCACCACCCTACCGCAGGGCGCGGGCGGCAACTGCAACGTGGTCAAGGAGATCATCTATCCGCTGGGCGCGCAGATTGACGTGCGCGCGGTGCGCCTGGGCGACCAGACGCTGTCGGGTGCGCTTTTGACTGCCTTCATACTTCTGTTCCTGCCTGTTGACCGCTTTCCCTGCCTGCCTGCCTGCTGGGCCTGGCCGCCTGCCCGCCTGCCTGCCCGTGGCGGCACGTGGCGGCACGTGGCGTGGCAGCCTGCCTGTCAGCCTGCCCGCCTGGCAGCCTGGGCCTGGAGCGAAAAGGGCGCCCGGCTGCGCGCCCCCGCCTGCCCTGCCCCCAGGCCGCCCGCCGGCATGTTCCCCGCCGCTGCTCCGCCGCTTTCGCCGCCTCCCTGCCATTGCCCTTGCACCCACCCTCGCGGAGGAGGCGTGCTGGAGAGCTGGGGGTGTGGCCGCCGCGGCCCCGCCTGCTGACCTCCCGCTCTTGTCCTGCTTTCCTCCCACCGTTTTCCTGCCTTCCTCCCGCCCTCGTGCAGTGCTGGAGATCTGGGGCGCCGAGTACCAGGAAAACGACTGCCTGCTGATACGGCCAGAGGCGCGCGCCACTCTGGAGGGCATCTGCGCACGCGAGCGCTGCCTGATGCAGGTGGGTGCTGGGACGGCTGGTGCTGGGTGCTGGGCGGCTGGTGGGTGCTGGGCGGCTGGTGGGTGCT